CGGATTTTGTGCCATTTTTTCTGCAATGTGCAATGTTTATGCTAATACAGGTATCAGCAACTCTAGTGAAAGTTTTTGCTTATTAAGTCTATCAATTATGAATAAATAAATCAAACTGAAATATCTGTATTTTTTATCTAATATGATAAAAATAATATTTTGAATATGAAGGGTGTTGCTGAAATGAAAATAGCTTAAGTACACGGAATTTTGAGATTGTTCAAACAGTATTCAAGATCAAAAGTCCATAAAACAATACAAATTTGGAGCAGAGAAACACGGACCTCCAAAACAACAGCAGAGCAAACCCTCCAAAACATCAGAGATGGTATCATGTGCTCATGGAGGAGCGTGCTCTTGCGAACCGAATTAACTGAGATATTAATATAAACTCTGTATGCAGTTGATAAAGGTATATTGCTGCATAAGAAGAGAAGTTGACGATTGAAAAGTTTAAGTCATCATGTTTATCATAGAGTTTGGTTGTTAGATTCCCATTAACGTATTTTTCGTATTATACTTAATAAAATCTAGAAGTATGGAAATCTTTGCATTGTTAAGAAAATACTTCTCCATTAAGTCGTCCCTGTAGCAGATCAATGGTATCAGCATCGGAACTATCTTCCTCTTTACTAATTTGTTTCAGTGGGACATTAACAATTAATAAGCTTCAGAAGCATGGCAATAAATCATCACTTTTAGAAGAATTGGTCTTGTCAACAACACGTGTCGTGTTTCGCGCGTCTTTCAGGCAGACGACAAGTAGAATCTATGACCTCAAAGAGAGGCTATTCCCTGTGAGTGAAATTAACACTTAGAAAAGCCTTCGATGTTAGATGCCACCAAGTTGGGACGCAGCAATTGTTTAAAAGAGAAGATTAGAACAAATGGTTTGAGCAAAGGAGCAACATCGAGGGTCAACATTGAAGAATTAATTTTGTCCGATTGCTTCATACAGTAATTTCTTAAGCGCACCGTAGCCTAGGAATAGTACTTTACATCTTCAATAAATTGGGTCACATTAATATAAATGTGGCATGTCTTACTCAATCTAGAGATAATGCAGTTATCAATATCCTTAAACGTGAAAGCCACAAAATCAACGGAACATTATTAGTGAAATATGTAGTCCAAAAACAGACTTTTAAATACCGTACCAAAGTTTATCTCATACCGCGGCTACCTGGTCCTTGCTCCCCAACGATCCTATAATTTATTTTAAAAAATAAAAAATGCTCCACAGGAATAAAGGGGACTCCCTCATTAGGCGCGGCAGGGAAGTGGCGAATGGATAATTTATATAGTGTCTGACGGTACGCCATTGTGTGAGTAGATTTATTTGCTGGATGTCAACTCAGCTACACAATGACATACGGTGTAATAGAACCAAGGACAGGTTGCTTAATCACAGAACCTGTTCTTCTACATTCTGGATGCTTGTTTTAACTTAAGTGTAGTTGTGTGATTCGTTTTTCACTTATGCATCTTGTAAGACATTTGCTCTTTTTATACATAATGAAGATTGCGTTTTGTTTATTACACTAGGATTTTATCTGCAAAGTATCAAATTGATGAATCTTTTATCAGTCAGTACGATGTTTACATTTGAGGGATAAGGGCATAAGAGATGCGATCTGTGTCTAGCAGCTTAATTAATAAACACGATAAGGAAGAAATCATGTCAGTCAATCATTAAAGATAATCATATTTCCAGTCTCATAGTTATAACTCAATTCCCTGGAAAGAAAATCGTTATTTGCTTAAATAGAAATACAAATAATTCATTTCTTTCGTTCACGAACAAATAACCATTTATGTATCCCCTCTCATATGTAATAAATCAAAGTTGTCAAAAGACGAGCACCGCTGGATTAACCCCTATTAATGTGGACCCCATAGTTATCGATCGGCGGCATAGAGAGGGCCCCGAGGGTTTTGAAAAGCCCAATATCTGAAAGAGAGAGAGAGAGAGAGAGAGAAAAATAAATAAGGGTAAAGAATAAAAAGACGTTTTTGTTTCAAAAAAATTAAGGAAACAACAACAACTGGTTGCTCTCGCCAATTGTTATTTGGGCTTTAAACTTCAAGAAACAAAACTTCTTTTTTCCTAAATAGGGCTGTTTTTATTCATTTATTTTTATTTACTAATTTTTTTGAGAGGTTGGTAGATTGTTATCGTTTTCGTTCTTTATTTTTTATTTCTTGATTATTATTTTTTTCTAGAAAACCTTATACTAGTATTAGCTTCATCCATTTAAAAATGTAAAAATAGTAGAAAAAAAAATAAAAATAAAAAATACAATTTTTAAAAAAATATTTTAATTCTATTTTAATATATGAAACAACGTATATTAAAAAATCTTAATAAAAAACTGTTGACAGAAGTAAACTTTAAGGTGGCAATAAATTTTGGGGGAAAAAATTATTCAAAACACTACACCAGTATTCCAACATTTTTTTGGTGCAAAAAAACTTTAAAGTACATGTATCTTAATGTCTAGTACAGACTGTTGTTTAATAACGGCATTCTGGGTATATTTCTGACTTGGCCTTTCGGAAAGGTCATGGGAACCAAACTTAATGTAAAATTTTGTTTTAAAAAGAATCAATTTGTTTATATGTTAAGAACTTATTTTAACACTACTAGTGACATGTTGTAAATTTTGTATTTTCTACCACTCGGTAAATTCAGAGTACCCCGTGACACTAGATTGGATGTTTTTGACTAAAAAAAAGTATCGTAAATAAATGTAAAAAAAAAATAAGTTCACAGCGAATATTTTTTTAGAGAATGTGAACGAAATTTGAATGAATTTTTCTCAATCTTTTTAGTATACATGTAAGAAATATCAAAATTTGTATACAGTAAACAGAAACCTGATGCAGAAATGAGATTTTCGAACTCTCTCATGTAAAAAGATTTATTTTGAATGAAGAACCCTAGAATATTTGAAAAATCTTTAAGATAATTGCATATAATGGATTATATCTCATCCAAATACACAATGTCCGACAGAAAAGCCAATGTCACATAAAGCGCCAACCAAATCACATAAGGCAGCTGTGGCGTTCCATAAATTTTCATCTTAGGTATGGTGACCCGTGGCAATCATCAAACATTCTATTTTATTGCATAAGTTAATGCAGTGAAAAAATTTAGATTGCATTAAAGGTGAAGTGGGAAAAAAATGCATGACGTTTGAAAAGAGTGTGTTTCTCAAAATCAAACTCAGTTGAATGACATCAGTTCTTCTTGATGGTTGTTTGAGGAAAAATGAAAAACAAACAAAAGATTAATACATATGTGACTTTATTTCCTTTAATATCGTCATTGATCCTGATATAGACATAAAATTTAATAATTTTATCATTGAAAAACCTGTACAGTATAAATTCAAAAAACATAAAAAATAAAAAAAAAGTACAGCTTTTTTTTCATTGATCAAAAGTCAAAATGAATTGCTTGTCAATGAGGCTTTGCCCATAATCCCCGTCTTATGTGCACGAAAAATGATTGCTGAAAGCTGCACTTTGCCATTACGTTTTGCTAATGCAGACTTTTAAATATCAGCTATACCTTTCCTCGGGTAAATACAAAATAAACATACACTGGGTTTCAAAGAAACCGAAATAGGCAAAGATAAGATAAAAAGTTATTTTATTAAGTCCCCGGTGCTGAGATTCCTCGACAGACATGAGGTTTCCCTAATCTTTTGGATATATGTTTTTGTCAATACTAGCTATTGCACGATTTTCTTAATGCTAATAAACATGTGAATTCTATTGAAATGAATCGCTTATAATGGCTATAAATTGAAATTGAACCATCGGCTCTGGTGAGATATTTTAGTGTGGTGTCTTAACGGTATCTGGGTGATAGGAGGTTGTCTAAATATATTCAAAATGGACATTGTTTTATGTTATTTTTCAATAACAAAAATTGGGAACTGTAAAAAATAGTTGTGCGTCAAATTGGTAGATTAAAATTTGAAAGGTTTCTTTGAAATTGCTCTATAATCACCGATTTTGAATGCCGACTTTAAAATACTTACCTGTTGTTTTTAGTTATCTCTAAAAATGAAGGGGAAGACATTATTTTTGACTTGTATATAAGGTTAAGGTGAATATATAGTCATGGCTCCGGCACAATATTACAATGAAGACGGCCTGTGGAGATTATACATGTAAATGTCGTGTAAGAGGAGCTTTCATAGAGTCCACGGACTGGCAGTAACTTGGAATGGTACATAGAGTCAGATACTCTGTCAAACTTGACGCGAGTCAACTAATCTTTTTGATGGCCAAATCTTGATAAATCGGGGGGTAATGAATGCAGGATTTCATGTGTCAATATTCGGTGAAATATAGTAGCGACTTTGGCGCTTTTTTGTCCTACGGACAGATATGGGTTTCTCGCGTTCCATGGACTTGTGCTAAAAAACCAGAATGGCACGGATGTCAGTGTTACTGGGACGACTTGAGCCGAATGGGATGGTATGGAGATCTTCATGTTAATGCCTCAAATGCAAAAACAAATGTAAACGATTGGAAATGACAGGAGATTTCCAACTGATTAACTATGGCAGCATATCTCTATACTACATTGATCAATACTGTAAAATGTCTTTAGTATAATGCAAAATAATGCTATGCTGCATGTTGCAATAATTTAGTTGTACAATAATATGATGAGGAAATCAAGAAAGAAATATTTTAAAAACATATCATATTTGTACATAAACATAACTATTTTTTTTTGAATACACCTAAAAAAAAGCATCTAGCACCAATGTACGCGGTTGTTTTCAAATCTCTCTATCTAAGAATACGTTATACGTTTCTGACCTAGAGTTCTAAATCACCAATTTGTTCAACCATAGGTTTTCGTGTAATAATTATCACTAGAAAAAAGCACTATTTCCTGAATGAAATGAAAATATTAAAACCCTTGTAAAAAGAAACAAAAAAGAAATCTAACGTACGAAACATCGGTCCTCGTGCAACACACGGTTCTTCTCTATAGTGAAATATTGCCATATAATACCGTATGTCCACCTCACTCTGCGCAGCGTCCGACATTATTCTGTGAGCAGCCGATCGCTTTGTCGCCATTTTATTAGCACTATTTCCTATTGCAGACAAATGAGAGGAGATCCAATCTTTGAATTGCTACAAGCCTGCCTGTTCTAAGTATTCTGACATTTGGTCACGCAGTTTACTGCTGTCAGACGATTGGTCATCCTCTATATCGGAAGTTTCCAGGTCTTCGGCTTGTTCTTGCTTTTTCTTCGCTGATGCCATTTCCGCTGCATGTTTCTTTCTCCATTTTGTTCGTCTGTTTTGGAACCATACCTGTAATAAGTCAAGACACATTATTAATATGTACGGAAAAAAACTTGCAGAGAATGACGTCCTGAAGTATATGTAAAGCAAAATTGCTCACATAAAATATATGACACTCAAGGACTTCCGCGCCTCCAAACACCTGTGTTCTGTTATGACATAAATTCCCAATTACAGTTTAAAGCAAAAGTGATAAAATTTCAATATTATTTGCCACATTGAAAATTTGCAAATAAAATTTATTTGTGGAGTGTGCGTAATTGCGGGTACGCGGGTGGAAATGTCAAACATGGGGGAGTTTATTTCTGTGTCCATTCAGATCCAATGGAGTTTTATGCGAATAGTCGAGTGTTATGGGTACCCCCATTTTACAATGAGGTGCTAAATATCAAAGAAATACACCCATGATTTATTGTGCACATCTGTGCAAAACAGATAACGTTAATGCATATCTAGCACAATTGAATATTATTCAATGATTTATTTGTCAAATCAAATGTTTTACTTCAATTTAGTTACTTTGATAGAACAAAATTTACAATTTAACAAGATTTACTAGCAAACTCAATAAAGAATATATTTACAAAAGAATATTTCATTTGGAAAAAGCACACACTACATATCAAAAACATACCTTGAAATATACAAACTTTAAATTGAACAAATATATTCTCAAAGGGAATTTTACGAAGTATGAATGTTTACATTGACAATGTAAACTTGTGAAGAACATTCTCTAAGTACAAAGTTTTGATTTCGAGTTAATTGAAAAAGAATAAAACCGACAGAAACAGTTTTCTTAAGAAAATTGTCACTGAGTGGCTTCGTAAAATTGTATATCACATAATAAGACGGGTAATGACGGTGTTATGTGTGTTTGTGAAGCTGTTTGGGGCAAACTGCAATCTGCGCGGTATTTAGCCCCACCTCTTGCAAAGGAGACTGTGCGCCGAGGCCCAAGTGACTAATAGGTATCCAAGTATTGTTGATCTGTTCGGGGATTTTATTAATTTGTGATAAGATTAATTCTGCGGCTAAAACATTTTACTAGGTAATTATTCCCCACAACAAAAACCCGCTAAAGGTATTTCCGCCGTACGTCTGCCTTTTTTATTGGGAAGTTTTGTTTTGTACCAAACAAGTTGCGGGAACCAAAACAAGCATTAACGTGTATTGCCTGTATCATATATTGTCAGACACTCTACTCTTGCTCCTGGACGAATCAGTATGTCAGTTCATCCGAGGTTAACCACATTAAGGGGGTTCTTTTTAAGTTGGGATTTTCAGCTAGAGTAGGATGTAATTATTCAGAGATATATTATATATGGTCCCCTAATTCTATATTTGAATTCAAATTACACGTAACTCTTTAATAGTATTTTGATACAAATAGTTAAAATTGACTTCTTTAGTTTTCACTAATATCAAATACTAGTAAAATACTCCGACAACTACATTGCGTAGCGTATTTGTGTTTCCAAAGTGATTTTTTTAATTCGATATTTTTTTAATTAACAAAAGAAGTATAAATAATTTTTGAAATCAAATTAAAAATAATAATAATGATAATTGTAAAAAGACTATTCACTCATTTCTTTGAAAAGGTTACTTCGAGACATTAATCTTATAGAGAATGATTTCAAGTTTTTCAACAACAAAATTTTAATAGAGGGTTTACATTATTTTATTAACAGAAAAAGAACAATCTTTAAATTATTATTTTTTAGGGGATGAAATTTGTAAGGTAATTAATTAAGATGTACAAATCTTATTTACTGATATAAAAAAATGTTATATACCACCCAAAACAAGACAAAGTTCTACATGTCTCCTCTCATTAAAAGGAGAGACAACTGTTTTTGTAGAAATTATAGTAATTTATTGTAAAGGAAAAGAAAAAAATCTCAATGAAAGTAATTTTAAGCAAGAGATGTCCGTAAAAAATGAAGTATTGGAGATTCCGTATGTTCTACAATAATATGACTTTGGACATACTCTTGACATTCAAAGTTAATCGTTTTTCATCAAATCCCAAATATTGAAAAAAATATCTGAAGGCTAATATATATCCTAATTTTTCCTTTTAAAAAAAATATTTATAAATTTTTATCTTGTACTTAAAGATAAATCATAAAAAAAAGAATTTTCTAGTTACTGTTATTTTGTTTTATTTTATGACTTCAAAATGAATGTTACTTTAATGCATACATAAAATAATTATAAGGATTTTTTACATTTAAAAGAAATAATTCTCTTAATTAAACATTATTTAGTATTTTTTTTTTTTCAGTTTGCAAAAAATAAATGTTTTCCCATTTTTCTAAACTTTTATTTATATAGCTTGATATTAAATTAAAAGTGTCTTTTTTCCATTCGATAAATTTTCTATATAATAATCCATGCCTTCTTTTCATTTATATTTAGAATTAAATATTATACACAAAATATCAGAACTGAATTGTGAAGCAATGTGCCACAGTCCGAATTGATTAAGGTACGGATTAATTTAACACCTAAACAGATTTTTGACATAATTAATTGAATGAATGTTGCTTTTTTCCCATTCGGGAATTTTTCCCCACTCATATATATAGGGACGTTAACATATACCGGTGAAGGGCTTATTAAGAGTATTCGGCACTCAGACAGTGAGAGATCTTTAACCTGCGAACGCCTACCCTGACATGGGGCCTATAATTTTTTGGTATCATCCGAATATCAGCAATTTTCACTCAAGGTGCCGAGAGCTTGGCGAAGAGAACAGCATCGTCGGAAACCCACGGGTGACCTCGTCTTTACTTATCACCCACGGGTGATAAGTAAAGACGAGATCACCCGTGGGTTTCCGACGATGAGAGAACAGTTGCTACCAAAGGCACCTGACGTTACTTATTTTTCTTTTAATAAAAAAAAATATACCCTTACCTGGTTTATTATAAGGTAAGGGTATATTTTTTTTATTAAAAGAAAAATAAGTAACATCCGGTGCCTGTGGTTGCTACCTACATGTATTTTTATCGAGCTAGGTCAGTCGCGGCAGTGATTCGATCACAGGACTTCTGGTCACGGAGCGAGCGCTCTAACGAGTGAGCTTCCAAGGCGGCTCTGATCAATTGAAGAACTTGGAACGATTTACTTTTATTCAATTCTTTTAATCAATGCAATTATCTAAACATTGCTCTTTTAGTATGTGAAGCTTACACACCATTTTCATGAAAGCACCTTATGTGCTACTTGTTTGTTAATATCGTTTGAAATTCATCGGCAGCACCAATCAAATGCAAAAAAGCACGGTAGCCATTTTTTCTTTTCTTTCTTTTTAAATAAACAAAATATTTGCTTATTGCAACTAATATCAGTTTTAGAAATAACGTATGATATTTTCTTTTCACTCATGTTTTATATTCATTGTGAACATTTTCAGACGAAACTGATAATTAAATATTCTTTCGCGGACGAAGTCCACTGACATTTTGGTTGTCTGAAACTCCAACTTCCGGTCAGATGCCTGAATCTTGAAGTTTTACAACATGAACTTTGTCCTTTTTCAAGTTTTGGTGAACTTTGATCTCATGAATACCATATTAAATAAAATTTCATTTCTATATCTTGCAACAGTTTTGATTCATTGATCTTTCTCTTTATATTTCTTAATCAGTTACATGCAGCATTTTTTTTTTTTGTTTTGTGTGTCTATTTTTCTTTCTGCATTTTTGTTGTGTTAATTTTATTTTATTTTATCTAAAAAAGGGCCATCAATTACAAATATCATTCAATCAATTCCGAAATTTGAATTCTGAATTTTAAAATGTGAAATACATGAGTGTATTGTTATGAATGATTTTTTTCTGTATACTAAGCAATTCCTGTCCCAGAGTGGCCGCATTAAACACAGTATATTTTCAAAATTTTGCCAGTCTAATTCTCTGTTTTGCTGAAGGACATCAAGTTAGGTCCTTATCTCTTCCGGTAGCGATAATTCCGTGTATTCTCAATTAAATTCCAACATCCATGATATCCACATAAAGACGAAATTGAAAGTAGGTAAAATAACTTTCCAGATAAACTGGATTAATTTGTTAAATTGAAATCACTTTATTGAAGAATTGAGATAACAAAGAGGACACGGGTATATTGATAAACCCTGATTCCGCTGAACAAAGGCCTCGGGGAGCGACAAGCCCCCCTTGATAACGTCTTTATAGAACTTCAAAGTTCCCTGGTGTAATATGAGAGTCAGGGGTACTTTGACAGGATTACGGGAGGCGGTCAAGCAATGTCGTTGCATCGATGGTCGCCATTGTCTTGGTGAAAAGTTTATAAAATGGAATTAATTTCCAAGAACATTCATTCCCAGTTAGACCAATGATATACAAAGGCTGACGTTGATATAAAGAATTAATTTAGACAAATTACACAACTTTTGATGGGATAGGATTTGGGGTTTCAGATCGTTGTCCGTAAGTCCATTTGGACTTATTCCTGTGTGATTTCGTAAATGAAATCCTTCCTACACTTTATGTTCTGTTTAAGACCAAAGGTAAGTGTGGTTAGTAAGTGGTTTGAACAAAGTTCCCTAAAAGAACAAACTTTCATCATTTATTGTAAGATTAGATCATTATTAAATACCAAATTCTAAGCAACAAAGAACTTTTTTATTAGACTGGATAATGAATGCTATTTTTACTCATTTTCAGACTGTAAAAGGTATAGACTCTGAAGTATTAGAAGACAATATTGCAACATATAAGATCGAATAAATAAATTTACAAAAAGGACTGGTTTTCATTTTGAAACTTATAATAAAAGGCTGTTGGATTCTTACTTTTTGAATATTTTCTAAAATCATTTTGATTTAAGATTACTATACGAGAAATCATTAGGTTAACATGTACTGATTTCGTTGAAAAAAAAGTCAATAAAAATAAATAAAATTTAATTCTATTTTTCGATGCATTATTTATCGATACATAGTCATTCCATCCGACAGATGATTTTGACCAGTTTTGTTCGTAATTCTCACTGTTTAACAATCAACATACAAATCTTATCTCTCAGCAATTTTTGACCACCGCATAAAATCATGTTTGCACGTGGCTATTTCACATCATAACACAACAGTAATTCATCATCAATATCCGATTTACAAAGAGGGAAACGGTAAACAGAATCTGGACCGACCAGCACATCAATGGCCAGCCTCCCTGTGAAGTCTCCATCCTATATACCGCGGAATAGGGTCAGCGTAATTTATTACAAATACGAGATTTTAATAATCAGAAATGTTTAAAAATCTGGACGGTATCAAAACACAAATGTACTCACGGAATTTATCAATAGAGAATCTTTACTTAGAAACTGTATCAAATTTAAATGTGCATCACATTTGTTAATAATTTATCGCCCGCTATACAAGACTAACGATGGGTGATTTTTTGCCGATGGTTTCCAAATGGTGTACAGCCCCTCAGAGAGTTGTCGGACCTTCCTTCCTGTCGGAAATACCGGGACATTAGGTAGTTAACTGACAACAATGATGGCCGTGTAGGAACCGAGATGGTGTAATCGAACACACCGTCTAGCAGCAGGAGCCGTCCGTCTAATGACTGCAGTGACAGATTTGTGACGGCTATTAACTTCCCTAGTGTCAATATTACACATCTTACAGATAATACTTACAATCGAATTAATTAAAGGCATTGTTAAGAAACCACTAAACTCTAGCAATAAAATTTATTTTACTATTCAACAGAATTTACTTCGTATTTTTGTTAATGAACCGACTCAAGTTTAATAGAGTTTGAGCGTCGAAAATCTGAAAATTACGTTTTCCCTCCTTGAGAGATTTTAACATGCCATTCAATATTTAGATAATTACCAGCCAATAAAATATTTCTAAAATTGAAGCGGAAAAAATCAAAGAAAATTATAAGTAGAACAAATTCAAGTAATAGTTTTTATAAAGAATTAAGAAGAAAATAAAGAAAATTTTATAATGTCAATACTTTTGCTATCGTAATATATATTTCTTTTTAATTTTGCTTTGGGGCTTATTATCCGAAAATTCATACTTCTCGTAAGAACAAAGCTCCTTCTTTTGATTTTTTTGGTGTAAATTCATTTCTTTTATTCTCTCATTTGATTCTAAAATCAACAGGAAGAGGCTTGTTCGGACCACCCTCGGATTCTTCCCTGCCAGAAATCAAATTAGTATCACCTCGACAATGGGCTCCTTGTTAGCGCCCGGGGAGGGATGATTGCATTAGATAGGGGGATACTTTACGTACTGTCCCCCAAGGTTGTTTAGAATAATGAGCCGGAGCATTGATTACTTTGATAAAGCATCTGGACATTTCACGAAACAGCTAGGGGTCCGGGGATTGCACAGAATCGTGACCATTCCTCCATATTTCCAGAGAACCCAAGAAATTTACAAGAGGAAATTAATGCCGAATTCGTCATTGATTCTTTTACCGCAAAAATGAAATGAAGTGATTTGACTTGCTAAATTGTTCGATGATTTAAAGGCTTATGGTTAGATTGTGTTTTTATGTCAAATAATCGACGAACAGGAATTTTGTGTAATCTCTAAAGTCTTGTATCAAGTACGCTTTCTTCCAATAATGTTTCGTCCAAATTTCATTGACTTAATAGGTATTTTGTTGGCTTAATTTCGGGCTCATTGGCAATCAATGCAAAATCTAATATCAGTTGGTCTCGCAGGTGTGCAATCCTTAATTTCAATAGGAATGATGTTTTATGGGAGTTGCAGTTAGTCCAGGTATCAATACCAATAAATCTAATTCTTCGTTTTGGTTTCTCCTTTGGCTGTGAAGTAACCAAATGATTGATATTTGAAAAAGTAGCCCAAATTCTGAAGATTTTCTCTCACAGGTGTTTTCGCTTTTTTGATATTTTTATCATTTTTTGAATCAACTGTGGAATATAAACATGAATTTTAAGACACTAAAATCTTTTCTTTCTTTAGATGTCTGTAAGACCTTTTTCTTTGCTTCGGCCAAAGACAAAGGAGGAAGGCTTGCTTTTACACATCATTATGTCCTTCGAAACTAGGCTTACTTTAACACATCATTATGTCCTTCGAAACTGACATTTTTTTTATCATAGCGGAGTTTACCTTGACCTGGCTCTCCGACATTCCCAGGGCGTAGGCCAGACGTGCTCTCTCGGGGCCTGCTAAGTATTTGGTCTGTTCAAATGTTTTTTCCAGAGCAAAAATCTGTTGTCCAGAGAAAGTTGGCCGTGTGTGTTTCTTTTTCCCGTCTTTGTCCACCACAATGTTTCCCGTACCTGACCAACGGATAAATCAATTATTTTCATTACAATAGAGTAAATTTACTTAGCTTTATACACATACAACTAATATAACAGGGATTTTTTAATCTTCAAAATACAAGTTAAAGGAATATAAACTAAGATAATCTAAACTGGTAAGTTTTACATATACTGTTAGCAAGAAATATTTACCAAAAAATTTTAAAAATTGATTTTTTTTTGTAATGAACTAATTTTAAAGAAAACAGGCAAATTGTTGGAACAGATTATAGTTCTTTACTTAAAATAGTTTGAGATTGAATAGAGGGAAATTTAGTCCAAACAAATATTTTAGTACCTCCACAAAATGTTTCATGAATATATTTGCTATCATTTTATAAAACAACAAACCTTGTTTTAAATATTCCTTTGATTTATATGCTAATTCTCTTATTAAATTGTTTAATTAAGCTTTGCATCTATACCAAGAAGAACCGTTAAAAATATATCAAATAAATGTCTCTTATTACAAATGGAAATATTCATCACAGTTACAATCTAAATTTTGTTTAATGAATAAAAATTTCACATTGACAATTACATATGTCAAAGTGAACTGAAGTAGCATCTTAACTTAAAACCGTGTGTATGAAATCGATGCATATCCGCCAAGAAGGGAAATTGACACGGTATGGAATTTGATATTTGACAGACATATGAAGACATAATTCTAAATCGATTTCAACAAATCCCAAATAATAATCCGAAGATTTTTAAAAGAACTTGTTTATCATTTCAGACCCCGTTTTGAGGACATATTAGGTCTTATAGAGATTTAACAAAATATCTATTGCAATGACTTGGATGACCCACTCTATCGAAGCTGATAACGAAGTCTTCAAGTAATTGAGGAAAAATTCTCCAAACTATCCTTTAAAGAAGACGAAAATAAAATGATGATATTGTGTTTCTTTTTCCTTCAGGTACATATTTTTAAAATGGATTATAGGTCTTTTTTTCTTTTTGTTTCTCATTTTCAATTTTATATTAGCCTATGTCAACAAATTTTATTTTGTCAATCTTTTTTTTTTTGACATATTTTTTCTTTTGGTCTTATTTAGGTAAAAACACATTTTCCTCAGTGGCACAATGTTAGGTTTGTATTTTGTGATCACGTGACAGTAGTACATCCTTCGGTGTTATGCTGTTCCACAAGTTATCAAACCAAGCTCCGATAAGTTAATAAACGCCCGATATTATCAGTATGAAATGGATTTGCTACTATGTAATTAGATATTATCACCTATAAGAAACGGCTTGTTCGGGGTTTGGGACATTTTAAAACAATTTTATCTGACCAAATCTGCTATATTGAATGACCCAATGTTTGTTATCGAATCAAGGAATATTGAATTTTAGTGATTGAGAATTGTTTGGATTTACCACGTGTGTATAGATATAGGTATCAATGAAGACCCCGTCATTTTCTGTACATAGCTTGCTAATAATGTAGAGTAATAAAGTACAGAAACCTGTTATTTTGTGAATTTTTTGTCTTTTCAGAATAATTTCTTTCTTTTTTCTTTTTTTCCCAGGGAGAGTGATTTGACTAGAGAATTTTTGATTATCAGTATTTTTTTTTCATTGTACCAATTATACGAATTTTAGTTGATGTTTATGTCTATCTAAATTTTATAATTTTTAAAAGATAATCTATTTCATATAGACTCAGTCTGTGCAAATTTTTTAGAAGTAAAATTAAATATAAATCAAGGACTAGTTTCCTTCACACTATTCTGGGAAACATCCATTTATTGACTATGTGTTTTGATATTTTTTGATATTTGTTGTATTCTCTCCAAGTTTTGATTTTTTTTTAAATCTAAGAAAACATTGGACGAGGTTGTTTACTTTGCCATAGTTTAGAGCAATAAAATCAGTTCGTGGGCGCATCTTTTTTACAATAAACAAAAAGAACAAATTTATCGTCTTTTTACCCAAAATAAATAAATATTCAAACGCTCTTTTTAATAACCGTGTTCAGTTTAACTGAACCTTAAATTTTTAAAAATAAAATTTGATAAAAAAAATATTTATTTAAAAAAAAAACGTACAATCATTTTCGTTATATTAATGTAATTAATGGGAAGGAAGTTTTTGTTATGTTCTGTATTTAATCTTAAAAAATCCATGAATTTTTAACATCATAAATTAACCATTTACTTTTGGTTTGAGATATCAAATCTTTATATTTAATATCTTATTCATATTTAATTATTTACTTATCATATGCCCTAATAAACGAAAAAAGAATAAATTTGGAATTAATTTTCTCACCATATTCTTGTATATTTCTATCATCATTTTAACGTTTATTTATTTTTAAATATTTCATTTCATTATTTGAATTCCTAACTTTAACTACGTGATACCCTTCTTTAATTGAATCTGATAATTGAATCTGATATTATCCTTAATGAACTCATTTTATCCTGCCAACGAGAAAGAAGAAAACATTAAATGTTTCTGAAGACTTCATTGTGTCTGTTTGCTCCTCTCTAGACGAAACACCGAGGACGACTTTAATCTATTGTTTGCCTGAAAACCGTTTAAAGTCAATACACAAAATGACTGTGGATCTGATTTGACCAGGCTGTTTTTCACTCACAATCCTCTTAATGTGGACTAAACAACATCATACACCGATAGAAGGTAACCGCAGACACTCAGGCCTATGTAACAATAGGCACCGTTTTCTTTCAATTTGAAACATCTTCTTTGAACCAGTTTTAGGACAATGTGATCTAAAATATTTTGTCCATTGAAACCAAAGGGTCATTTTAATTGAAATTAAGATCTTGAATTGAATTCAATATCTGTTTACCCATTTATCTTCCATCATTTTGATTCTAGGTATCAAAGATAACCCAAAACCTCCTTCAAAACATTTTTACCCTTAAGATATTAAAATTTTAGTCAGAAATGAATTTTGACGTAAATCAATGATAATTTTCCTTACTATTGGGTCTCCAGCTTTGACCGTTGAGAAGTCCTGGCCAGTAAATGGGTGGTCGGCCCGGAAGTTCCGCTAACTTGGGCATTCTGCACTGCGAATTTAAGTACATTCCAGCAGCATTTAACCTGGAAAGTCCAAGAGCATGAATCTGAGGTCGACTCAGAATATCCTGAATTCCATGAGGGGTAGAATTGGCGGAGAAATTCTTCAAAGACTGCTGATACTGAGCTGACGTCAAGAAATTGGCTGCTGCTGATGACGTCACAGGGGCTTTCATTTCTGTCATATTATGAAGGGCTGCTAAAGGGGGAGAACTGAGCACAAATGCCGGTTGTCGTCCGCTAGAGTCCATATTAACATTCATGTTCAATAGTGATGCCATGGACATGGAGTTGGGGCTGGCATTTTGGTGAAACCCCGAGGTCCCGTTGTCATTTGAGCAATAGTCCAGCATTCTTGTTGTATGTCTACGTTAGATAGTTTATCTACTTAATTAAAGCACATTTTTACCAAGCTGTCTTCCAGTCCATGATAAAGAATTCGTTACATAATATATGTCCAGACTGAAAAAAAACCCCTGAAGATACCGGCATCAACCTCTCCTTAGATATGTCTGTAAGTTTGTCTTTGCACTGCTTCGGTTTCCGATCGAAATTACGCCTGTCTTATTTTCCGTAAGTTTTTATTTGAATATAGTAGAGTGCAACCATATCAGTTGACCATTTACACTCTTTACAAACCGCGTGTAGATTTTGTAGAGTGAAAACTTGCTCCCCTAATCAATCAAATATTACTCTCTGAGATATCAATGCCCAATTGTTGGCAAGACCAACCTCCTAGATAGAAGACGCGCTCTGATTGGCTGGCTCATATGATACATTATCAAAGCGACGTTGATTTTCGAAACAAGTTAATTTTGTTTTTTTCCAAGACTTTTTAGATTTTTCACTTTTTTGAGAAATGAAAGAACAATATTTATAATTAAATAAAACCATTTTAAAAAGTATGAGGAAAGAAACAATTAAAAAATGTTCTACATGTATATAAAGAGATTTATTTACATAAAAGAAAACGCGTTAAAGTAAAACCAAAATGATCAAACATAATAAATAAATAAATAAAATTTTGAAATATAAATTAAAAATGCAGCAGTTGTAAATTAGCATGGGCAAAATTATCCAGAGAACAATAACATTTATTAACTTTCAATAGAAAAATATTTCAGAAGAAAAAAAAATCCCTTTGACATTTTTAAAATTAAAAATTTCATCAATCTTGGAGTCTGGGTTTGAGGGCGGCTTTTCCATATTCATAAAAAGACTCAATGCAGTGTTTAACGTGTACACATGAAAGGTTGACGCCCCTTCCTATAAAGTTGTCAACTCAATGATTATTGATGGCCAAATAATTTTTAGAATACATATAACATATCACTAGCAATTAAAATCCAAGGCATTTCTATATCTTGGCAGCGTGTTTCCCGGGAAACGCAGTAACTCCGAGTTTTAGCTTTCTGACTCCATTGGCCTAATACGGTTTGGGGGGACATTTTCTTTAGTCCCCCTATCAAGGAGTTCTAAAATGTGGTTCGATCCATTGTGTTCGAAGAAGAAACTTTAAAGATAAATGAGAACTCCATGCCATTAAATTAATCCCCTCTTATAAATCTATTGTATGGGTCTTGAAGGAAATTCTTATTGCAGTAACCATACAAAATATAGAGATCTTCTCATAAATTCATGAAGTGTCATTCCCGTTTGGGAAATCGTATGGACACAATTTAACGACATCCAAATGCTCTTGATGACTTCATTGAATATTCAAATCCATAAAACATATATCGTCAGGATGTAATCTTTTAAGTTCTGAGACACAAAGAAATTTAATTTGACCAGTAGTCTGGACTAAGGGCTGATCCATTACAAGTAATGGAATGGTTGTCTCGGACAAACCAGGACCTAGCAACCTCTAACACATACAACTTATTAATGCATATGTTATCTCAGCAGTTAATTTTAATTTTTATTCTTTAGATAAAAAGCAATTTAACATTCCGTTAAGATAGGAGTGAGATAAATTCACAAAGTATAATACATCTTTTTTCTTCCGAAAAATTGTGTTGAACCATTTTCGATTTCAAAAAGCTAAAAGTAATGACGCTGTATCGTAAATATCTGTTTCATGATATTGGAGTATTTAGTGTTTCTTTTTGCTGTTTAACCTTATTAAAAAACTAAATCGAAGAATATAAATGAATGATTCATTGATTAAATAAACGAATACAATAAATAATAGCAGAGAAATTGAAAAACGTACAATAAGATCATTGCCGTTACAAAATATAAGAAATAGTATAGATGTATATTGTTATTATTATCTCAACGGATATATTCATTTTATATTTATTTATTTATTTTTGCTTTGCTTTGTTTTTGTTTTTATTCAATTATTTCATTCTTGCGGTAAATCAGACAGAATCTCAAATACATAGATGAGCAAGTGCATACTTTACCGTGAATTTCTACATTGTAAAATATATTGATTTAGCATAACTTTTATAAATTTCAAAAGGCATAAAGATAATAAAAGACTTCTATCATTCCATTCTAATTCTCTCTTTCTGAAACAGGAAAGGAAACTATCATCAAATGAAGTCAAATTATAAAAGAAAGAATTGTGTTTCCGAGGTATCGCTATATTCTTCATGGCGATTTACAGTTGCAGTTGCGTTTTCTTTGAACCGTCCTCATAAAATATATTAGCAAAATAAATGAAAATCATAATAAATTTAATATTCTGTATTTCTGAGTTTCTTAACGAGGCCCGATCTAGTTGAAAATTACGAAAAAGGTACGATAAAAAATTTTAATTCTTGGAAATATACTTGTATGTTTTATGCTTAGAAAAATTAGAATGAAATTTTGTTATCTTGCCTTTATTGTAGTGAAATGGGAGCACTGTAAAGATATGGACCATTTTTCGTGTTTTTATAAACAATTACATACTAAAACTCTTCAATAAACAAAGAAATTTACAAATAAAAAAAATACATGATGAAATTCTTTGTTTTTCACATATATCTTGCAATTTTCATTCTTCTTATAAAAAATGAAAAGAAAATGGAGGTAGCCTTTATTGCAGTGAAAAGGGGGCATGTCAAAACACAAAATTTGGATTTATTCTATCCAACTACATATTTTATAGGTCGCAGTGGGTTTACATAACGCCAACAAACGATTGCAATACTGTATTAGTTTCTAAAAAATAAATAATTCTTACATTATGAAATAATTTTCTTGCCATGCTTTATTTTTCTCTTAACACGCGACGTTGTTTTACGTGGAAAAAAGGGGTAGAGGGAGGAGGGGGAAGTAGGTGTAAAGCCGACAAAATTGCGATTTTTACTAATATCATGTAATACATGTATATAGAAAAATAAAATATTTCGATGGTTCAATTTAAATGGTTTATAGACTTATATTATTTTTTAAAACTGAAGATAATCCATGCATATTTAAGTCCGCAATAAAAAGAGTGTAGATAAACACTTCAGCATGTTCAAAGAGAAAGACTAAAATCGTTTACTTTTAGTTGCAGTATTTGTTTTTTTAAACTCACAAATTGAAATAAAACAGGATAAAATTAATAAATCTGTACCAAAAAAATTGATCCCTCAAAATTAATTAGGTTCCAAAGTCGTTTCTTAATTTAAATATTTAAAAAATATATAGAAATGTCAGCTTTCAATGCATAGTCTATAGAGCTACCAGGTAAGCAAGATCAGCGAAACATTTTAGCGCAATTTGACGTCATTTTAACTGTGACGTTATTGTGTTCAATTGTGAGGGCAGTCAAGGGTATTGTGACGTGCCTGAGTCGACGCTGCGTTAAAACGTATGCGCAGATCAAGTAGATCGGGCCTCGTTAAGATTTGATTTAATAAAATAGTTCTTTCACATTGATTACATTTGTTAAGGATCCTCCGTTCTATGTAACAAAATAAATGACATTCAAATCGGTACCCAGTGAGCGGATATTTGGAGAGATAGAAAAAAAGAGAAAGAAAGGCGGATATCTGAGCAGAACGACTTTTTGCCAATTAGTTTTCATGTCATCAAATCGGTAAATTTCCCAATCGTTCAGTGGTTAATCTTGTGGAAGATTGATCAGGGAACCCTTAGCGCAAAAAAGTTCAACGCCGACAATGGAAAGCGCCCATTAAGGACCAATATGTCAGAATTTTGATCGCATTCAATAGTAGCCAGGCAGTTCGGATGAATCTTAAGAAATTGATTCCCAGAAACATAAAAGAAGGCAACTGGTAAATGGCTGCGGCCATTATTTTGGCAGATTATTTGCATTTATTTAATGACCTGCGGAATAAACAAGTCTATTACATTAAGAGTTGTCTTCTGTGTTGTAGAGATAAGGCCTACAGATCTACGAGGGGTTCCGGAGGAATATCATCGACTACTACTAAATTATAGCCAAAAAATATTTTGTAATTTTGTATCATAATTGTTTAACATTTTTTATACACTGGAACTATACTTATCATATGATTTCTGCCTTTAGTTACTTTTCTTAATCTCAATATATGTACGTCAATATGTTTTCTCTTTCATTCCTCTCAAAGTAGTACCAAGGTCATATCCCAAACTACTGAATAATATCTAGTTATAGGTCACTTCTTATGCTGCTAAATTATGAAGAAAAAAAATACCTTGGGCAATCGCAGTTTTTGAAAAATAAAATAAATAAATAGGTGGAAAGCCAAATCAATTATCATAGTAACGTTCTTCAGTTTGAGCAGAATATCCCGGAATATATTTCATTTATTACCCCCCCCCCCTCCACCATGATAAAAGTATCAAGTCTAACGTCAACGAAGCGGACATGTCTCTACAAATACAAGTCACAGCAAAAACATCATCATTTAGCAATAACCCTTTCTACAACAAATCTTTGCACGTAACATATAACAAGCATTGAAAATTCAGTAGTCAATTTGTCTCCTAATGATGGTTATATTTGTTTTTGTTTTAGAATGTATTTAAATATCTTCATGTAATCAAAATGAAGTAAGAAAGTAAAATTTATCGTGATACTGACTCATTAGAGAACAGATAAAAATTAATGATAATTTATCTGTTCACAAAAGGACAAAAGTGTACCAAATTAATGTCCTTTTTCAAATGTTCGGAGACACAATGCATTCATTTTTGTGGTTTTGTTAAGGTTTATTAAGGTTTATATGTCTGTAACTTGCATTAATTAGAAAATCTTATGGGGTCTGTCGTTTAGATGTCACATAGAGTATATGCTTAAGCTATCTTAATTAAGGAATCACTGTCTAGTTTTGAGGGTATGCCAGGGCATCAACAATAGTGGGAAACATGGGATAATTTGCATAACGGGCGAAGCCCGTTATGCTAAAATTATCCCATGTTTCCTTATATACTCTGTGTTTTTATTTCCATTTTTACTTGAAATAACCATCTTAAAATAAATCGAAATACCGTCTAATTGAGTAGATTTGAAATGCACAAGGCCCCATGACGTCAAATTTTACTATAAAAAAAATAGTCCCAAAAAACACGTAACAAATTTATTGACTATTTAGTTACCGTAGTCAAATATCAACATTTAAAAATAAACAACAAAAGAATTTTAAATTATGATCAAAGTAATCTT